TTATTATTATTATTATTATTATTATTATTATTATTATTATTATTATTATTATTATTATTATTATTATTATTATATTATTATTATTATTATTATGCTTATTTATTGTTATTAATATATTACAAATTTTTGCAGGCCTAATCCCTAAGCCCAACAGCAGATACAAATGAACTGGCCCAATCCCGCAGCATACCCAACAAGCTGGAGCCCAAACCCGGTTCAGGCCCAATACCAATCCCAGGCCCACTCAGTAACCCAAATATAGATTAGGGTTTACCCTAATCATCATCAGCCGCCCCAACAGAGGAAAGGATGCCACACCGCCGTTACTGTTCCGGCCCACTCCGATGGTCCAGCCGCCGTTCCCACGTCACCACAGTCATCTACAGCAGAACCAATCAAACAGAAAATGAAACATCATCAACAGTGGACCAAATCACCCTCAAATCCAGAACCCATTAAAAACTAAGATTAAATCTCGATTCTTCGGGATTTAACAGATTAAAAAAATCAGAAGCTCATGCCCTATATTCTAGATCTCATGATATCTATCTAAAGAAGACCATAAATTGAATGGAGAGAACGAAAAGAAGAGGACAGAGAGAGGAGATTCGGAAAAAAAAAAAACGAAAATAGAAGGAAAAAAAAGAAGAAAAATAAGAAGGAAGCTCTCACCTTTGGTTCATATATTCTAGATCTCATGATATCTATCTAAAGAAGACCATAAATTGAATGGAGAGAACGAAAAGAAGAGGACAGAGAGAGGAGATTCGGAAAAAAAAATGAAAATAGAAGGAAAAAAAAAGAAGAAAAATAAGAAGGAAGCTCTCACCTTTGGTTCATCTGCCACCATCGGTGTCTCACCGGAGCCACAGTACTCCGTCCTTGAAGGTATATGTTTTACCTTGGGGGTTGATTTTCATTTTAGGTTTTGAGAGGGAGGGGTTTAGTTTTGTTTTAGGTTTTTTTAAGGGTAAGGAAAAGAATAAGGGTGTTTGGGCGTAATCTTTCCCTTGGCCACCGAGATGTGGTGGCCTGAGTCACGGTTGTGACTCCCATCGATGGCAGCAGAAAGGTTTTTCCTTTCTCTCTCGTGAGAAGAGAAATGGAGAGGGCAAAGAGAGAGACGGCTGATGAGGGTAAATGAGAATAGGGTTCTGAGAAAACCCTTAATTTAGCATATATACCAAAGGAGACGGCGTCGTTTTGGGCTAAGAGAGGAGACCAAGCTGTTATTTGAGGGATAATAGTTGTCTTGGTCCCTGTGACCTTGTAAACTCATACCCGTTTTTGGGGATTTAAGGGTTAACTACATGTTAGGTCCCTTATAGTTTGTAATCACATATTTCGGTCATTAAATGAAGTCTTATTTTATTAGTTTTTTTAGCACATTATTTTCGGTTCTTATGCTTTAGTCCTATTATTAAATGCTATGTTATTATTATTAACATTTAACTTTGGCCATAATGTTTGTAATAGTTTCATCCTAGTCACTATTTTCGTGGGTTGTGATATTTTATGGATGTTTGAATTTAGCCACCATATTTGCAATTGTTATATTTTAGTCACTGTTTTAGCTTTGGGTTAATTACTTTTTGTTCCTCCATGTTTCTGTAAAATTTCATTTTAGTCCTAAATGTTATTTGTGGGTTTTTTTATTTTTGGTACTTGCATGTTTAATATTTGCTGTATAGGCTCTGGTTTATTTGTAATTGTAGTTTAGTACTTAAGTTTGTTGTATGTTACTATTTAGTCTCTTAAATGTCTGTTTCTGCTATTTAGTCCCTTAAGATTCTATTTTTACAGTTTAAAGCCCTTTAACTTTCTGTTATTGTTATTTTAGCCCTTTGGAGTCCTTTAAATTCTTGTTTGTACTATTTTGGTCCATTGAGTGTATGTTTTTGCTATATTGGTCCTTGTAACTTAAAAATACTTATTTTTGGTCATTTAATTTCAGTTTGTAAAATTATTTTGCTTGTATGCCAACTCTTTATGTATGTACATATTTTTTATGTCATGTATTTATTTATATTTTTTGTAAATAAATATGTTTAACTTTATTTTTTATAAATATTTAGTTTCGCATATTTTATTTATATTTGTTTCCATTGTATTTCTTTATTTAAATATTGTCTGAATATGTTTCGAGAACGGTATTTGTAGAATGGGCATGGAAAACACCACTTGGTCGAAGTGATGTAATCCCATATGACATTCGAATTAAATACAAACTTGAAATAAATTAATTATATTTCGCTCATTATTAATTTTTTCACTTTAATCCAAATATTGCAATGAATGACTAAATAATAATTTATTTCATTCCATGCGAATTGTTAATCTTAATTCTACATTTTTATATTCGATTCATTTTTAGTTAATCAATTTATTTTTTAAATGTAGACTTCATTTTTTTTATATTCGATTTGCATTTTTAAAATCAATGATGAGTGAATATTTTTTATTGATAAGAAATAGTCGAGTTAGTTTTCCTGATGAAGGATTGTTAATTTCGAGATTTCTTTTCGAGTTAAAGGATTTTCTCTAATTAATTGATTCCAAGCAAATTAATTATATTTCAATAAATGGATCATATTTTAATTTTATATTCGATTCGTAATTTCCACCATTACGACAATGCGTAAGTGACACAGTACCAATTCTGGGCGCTGTGGGGTGTTTACCCTTTCCCACACGTAACCGACTCCCGAATCCATTAAATTGAATCTTTGGTGACGCAGACTAAATTTTGTCTTAAAAAATGATTTTCCTTAAAATTGTTTTGAAAGACGGTTTTAGGTATTCGACCTACCTAACTCAAAGGTCGATGGCGACTCCTTTTCTATTTTATTCAAATCAATTCCAAAATCACCAAATTTTCCAAATTAAAGTCATAATTGTTTTTAAAACTATATCAAATTGTTTTGTTGAAAATTGGTTATGACACTCTGCATGTTTTGGATTTTGATAATGAGATTGTTGTTGTCTGAATGGAAAGTTCGGTTTAGTTTTATAATGTAGGGCATCATTTTCTTTAATGCTCTCGTTTGCCCCGATTTGGTGTTTATGTCTCTTCGTCCGATTTTGTTTGTTTGGGACTTGGTCGGAATCATATGATAATTGAAACCATATATTGTTGTTGGGGTATTAAATCAAACATTATTATGAGATGAGGTTTTCAAATTAATCTGTCTTAGCATGTATTGTCTACTGAGTATCGTTTAACCAAAGTCTCGACTGTCATTAACATATATTTATAAAATTTTAAAAGACTAAAACGGATTATATATAAAATATATAAAGAAAATATTTAAATTATATAAGAATTTAAGGGCCCATTTAGTTTTAGAAAATATTGATTATTTTTATTTTCTTAGAAAATATAAAACATTGAAGAAACGTGTTCAGTTGTAAAATTGGAAAATAATTTCTAGAAAATGAAAACAAAAATAAATGAAAATATGAAAACATAAAAAAGATGTTATCACTATTTTTATCAAAATTGTTTTGAAAATTTGGAAATTTGAAAATATGGAAATATGATATCTAGAATTTTAACTTAACTTACACATGGACGGCAATCCTGAAAGGTAAAAAACTGTCAAGAGTTTCTCGCGTTGGAGCTGCACGATTGGTTAGAACTGAATCTTGGAAATGCAGCAGACTTTGTTGGCCAGGTAGAACACTAGGACGTTCTGTTTGGGTCAATTGTGTGAAATATTTGGTTACATCGTAATTCGATGGTTTTCGATTCACTTGGGGAAGACAGCAGATCAGTGCTGGAGCGTAGTAAATCCTTATGGGGGTTTAAAGTGCAAAGTTTTGGCTACTGAAAGGTGCCAACGACCTTTGATGCTCGACCCGACTCACAGGAACATTTGTTGGACACAGCCACATCCGGGATGGGTGAAGGTTAGCTCTGATGGAGCTCGGGATAAGGTGTTAGGTACCACCTCCGGGATATATTTATAAGATAGAGAGTATTTTATATTATTTTAATTATTAAACTTTTAAAAATAAAATAAATATAAAATTTAATATACATTTATGAATGATTATAATTATTTTATCATCAAGTATAATATATGATATATTAAATAAATAAATAAATACTATTTCATTTGATTTCTTAATTTTAATTAAAATTTAATTTTTATATATTTTTGTATCATTTTAACACAAAAAAATTAAATGAAAATAATAAAAATTCAAAATTCAAAATTTATTAAATATAAAAATAATTTTTTAAATAATTTTTTAAAAGTGTAATATTCTATAAAATTTTCAAATTATAATTTAATAACTTAAATAATATAAAATAATTGTAGAACCCATTTAAAAAATACTTTTAATATTCTCAAACATTAGAGAATAAAAAAGGTACAGTCTTTATATGTGTGTGTCACAAAATCAAATCAATACATAGGGCCTTAGTTACAAAACTTGTTTTCAATGAAAAGAAAATAACACATTAAAATTATTTTTATTGAAGAAAAACAAATTATTTAAATTATCTTTTAATAACCTAAACAATTATAATATAATGTTATTCAAAAAAAGTTATTATAATTTTTTTTCTTTTTATCAATAAAAAGTTAACTGTTACTAATACATATATTCAAATATTTTATCTACATATCTATTCTAACTCGAATTTTAAAAATATTTTATTTTCTAAATAATCTAAAATAATTATAAAATATTTTCTATTTATTTTATTATTAAGAATTTATCAATCCTTTTATTAGTTGTTATCAGGGTAATTTATTAATTATTAACTTTTAAAAAAGAACTCGTAAAACAACAAAAAATTATTAAATGTATTCGCTTCACCCATCTATTCATCTTAAAATAATTTTCAATTAATAAAAAATAAAGTAATTTTTAAATAATTATTTATTATTTTAAAAAATAAATAAAATTAATGTATTTTATTGATTGAAAATACGAATATGATACTGTGTGGACGGATTGGTCTAATAACTTTTCCAAAAAGGTCAGCAGCTACTTAACAAAATTATAGTTCCTTCTTGGTGTTTTAGGGTTTATATCTTAGCTTGGGAGATACACAAAGCGAGGAGGGCTACAATGGGGAACCAGAAACAAAAATGGACGGCGGAGGAAGAAGATGCTCTTCTGGCAGGAATCACCAAACACGGTCCTGGAAAGTGGAAGAACATCCTTAAAGATCCCGAATTTGCCCCTTTCCTCACTACCCGCTCCAACATTGACCTCAAGGTTCTTCGTTTGTCTGAGTTGATTTTTGGATTTGTTTGTTGTTTGGTTATAGGGATTATTTTCCTATGAGTATCAATTTTTGCCTTTTCACATTGTTTTAATTGAGATGATATTTTACGTCAAGAAACCCTGACTGTTAGTTTGACGTTAGTTGAATGGTGACAGACAGGTTAATTTAAAAGGATTCTGGAATATTTGTACAGTGCACGTGCTTAAAGGTTAAACTACTAAACGTTTAACCTTAATTCATGTACATGTTAAGTGGTACTGCATAATAAAAGTTTTGTTCTTCATGATATCAAATATTTAAGCTTGGTATAGTTTTGGAAGTATTCAAGATTTTGTTGTGGGTTTATTGCAGTAATGGGTGATATAAGGTTACAGGGGCGGGGGACATGGTCATTAAGAAACCTATATTTTGATGGCTGTTAAAACTCAAAACTAAAGATTGAATGTTTATCTAATTCTAGTTTTCTATATCCATATGAATGATGCTTGGTTTAGGTGAATATATTTCTTCCTGCTCTATTGTGGTTGAACTATACGATTTTCTCATTTTTTCTATTGTTTTCAGGATAAATGGCGGAATTTGAGTGTCAGTACCAATAATCAATGCGCCAGAGACAAATCCAGAGCACCCCAAGTAAAAGCCATTGTTGCTTCCCTTCCCACCACTCCCAATTCTTTAGCTCCAGCAGCTTCACGTGCTCTCAGTGCAACTACTGATGATGTTGTGGGCGATTCTTCGAATAACAGCTTAGATGGAAAGAATGCTCCTAGGTTTGTATTATATTCTTTCTGTTCTATGTCTAAAAGACATCTGTTTTGAAGACTTATCTTCTCATAACTGTGGTGTGAGAAATGGAATAAAATGAACATCCCTATTTGCTAGAGCTTTTTGGATGTAATAAGGAATTTTGTCTGAATTTGGTTTTTCATGGTCAATTAGAAATCTGAAATACCCTTTGCGTATGAAGGGTTCTTTTTTATAATTATTATCATTATGGTTTGCATTACATTACTACTTTTATTTTATGTCAATAATAATTATTTTATCTTCCGTAAAATTTGAAATAAAATATTAGTAAGTCTTAAGTTGAATTTCTACTTTTGATTTCATAGTTTTTTTGTGGTTTCTAAATCGATGCTACACTGCCTTGCAACTTTACTGGAACACCATATTATATGATTACTATAGTCTAAACCATTTATTTTTTGAGATGCAGAGAGTTCATGTTGCTTGATAAATATGTTATGCTCCCTTCTTCATTAGCTACTTGATTCTATCTCTCTTCTTTTTATTATTATTATTATTATTATTATTATTATTATTATTATTATTTTGGTTTTACCAGGTATAACACAATGATTTTTGAAGCCCTTTCAACGATTAAAGATACAAATGGATCCGATATAAGTGCGATTGTTAGATACATTGAGGTGAGATGGAATTTGTTTCTTCTTTTTCTTTACCCCCCCTTTTTAGCTTTCACTTGTATGTATCTTATGTTGAGGGAGTTGCAATACTAGTATACTACTAGCAAGAAGATTGTGGATTAGAACATAGAGCATCGTTACAAAATGTTAAATTTCCGCACAAACACTCTGTGGTAACCAAATTCTTTACAAACGGGGACCTAATATTGCATTAGATGATTCAATTGCGGGGCCATGATGCTAAAATGCTGACTGTCAACATGAATCTCATATTATTTAATGTAGAAGACAAAGATTAAATAATTTTAGGTACTTTCTTGGAGCTGGATAGCTTGCAACTAATATCAGGCTGTATTTAGAAATGTAACAAACGCTTTTTCTCAATGCCTCACTTTTTAGTCCAAATCCTTCAATAAATTTGAATTTTTATCTGCAAAGTACAGTGCAATAATTCACTTTTACAGGCACATCACATCCTTCTTTCCTTAAAATTGTGAAACTGGAATATCTATGTTTTATCCTGCGGGGCCTTTTCTCTTCCATCTGCATGTGTGTGTATTTGATCTAGTCTTCCCTATCTATTTATCTATGCATGTTTGGAATATAGATATTAACTGTGTGGATTTACAATGCTGCAGCAAAGGCATGAGGTTCCGCCAAATTTTAGAAGGTTACTAAGTTCAAGGCTTAGAAGACTTGTTTCTCAAGGCAAACTGGAAAAGGTAAATGTGTTTCTATAATGAATAATATACCTTTGACTGCCTTTTTTATATATATAGATATGGTCTTCTGGAGCGTGTGCTAAACATGATGAAAAAATCCTTTCAACAGCTGGCATTTTCCCATGCTATTCTAAACTTCTAAAATTGCAGGAAATTGAAGAGAATATACTTAAATTGTTCAAGTTTTTAATTCTTTTCTGCACATTCACATTAGTTAACTGCATAAGTGTCTCTAGATTGACAATCAGAATTGTATTCGCCGATCTCTTTAAGAAGACAACTTTGGCTCTATTGTTGAAACTCTTCTACTGTTTATGCATTTAAAAGATGACTATTAGCAAATCGGTTATGGTGATGACATGCTAGCAAATAATTAGTTTATATGCAAGAAATTTTGATGTTGTATTACACTATAGAATCATTTAATTGAAAATGTGATTTTATGGTGGATGTTTTTAAAGGTCGCATATCCGGATGCCATCCTCTCACTCATGTCAGAACCATCCAATGCAGGTACAAAATTGCTACAAGATCAAAGAAGATACATTGACAGGAATGGAATCGCCTACCCCTAAACAAAAAGATATGCATTTATGGCAGAATTCTAGTGCAGTGAATTCTGGTGAAACAGTGGCAGAAGCAGCAATCACAGCCGCCTATAAAGTTGCTGAAGCTGAAAATAAATCATTTTTAGCTGCTGAGGCCGTGAAGGAGGCAGAAAGAGTCTCCAAAATGGCAGAAGATACCGATTCAATGCTTCAGCTAGTGAAAGAAATCTATGAACAATGTATGAGAAGCTGCACGTTCATACTATTTCTCGGGCATAATCTTTTTCCCTCATACCCTGGAACCTAATTATAAATTATTTTTTCTTGTTGGTACAGGTTCACGAGGTGAAACAGTTCTGTTGGCTTGAGTCTTAGCTTCCTAGAATGTAAGTGATAGTTGTCTTTCTTTTATTTTATAATTTTTGGCATCTTTGTATGTATGTGAATTGTGAGTCCATTGATCTTGTTGAATGAATCAATGCATCGGCATTGAAATGCATTTATGACCATTCAAGATCTATGATGATTCATGTAGTTAGTATATTATAAGGTTTAATTGTACAATTAGCTCGTTATATGAGAGTGGAAACCGGTTTTGACTTTTGGAAACAAAATTTAGTTTAGGGGAATGTACATTTTGGAATCATAGTAAGGAATGTACTCATTCAGCTTCATCCCATGACATTGGCAATGAACCTACATTTATATTTACAATTGTGATGGAATTTTGGGTATGCAAATTTGTATGGTACGACGTACAATTTACACTAAATTTTACAAGTATATTGTAAATAGATTTATATTTAATGCATTGAGAGTGTATAAATTTCCCATCAATTGAAGTGTCATCACACCCGATGAATTGTATGTTGTCACCTATTAACAAATTTATTCAACGGTTAAAAGTTTATATTATTCATATTTGTTTTTAGGGATAATTTTGTTTAGCTTTTGAATTTGATGAAATTTTCAACTTGGTCCTTGATTCTTTTTGTAGTTCACATTAGTCCATGAACTTGGTAACTTTGTCCATTTTCAGTCTTTTGGATGATGTGTCATTTTGGAAGTGTGGCATACTGCATAATTAAGAATGACACATCATCATAAAAATTAAAATAGGTAAAAAAAAAAATCTAAGTTCAAAGACTAATGTGGACCATAAAAAAATTAGGGACTGGGTAAATGTCGTCAAGTTTAGAGATTAGAAATTGTTTTTTCTAAAAGATTTTAACGACATGTCAACATGTCATATTTAGGTAATAATAATAATAGCAGACTGCTCGATTATCTGCTGTTATTCATTCGCTTTCTTGATTTAGAAGAAATGTTCATTGCTATCTGAATAATAAAAAAAATCAAAAAGTGGATGAAACATCCAAAAATGAGTAGAAATCTACTCAAAACCCCATTTTTTGAATTTTTGTCAATCAAGTCACCTAATTATTTAAATGCATTCAATCAAGCCATTAACCGTTAATATTTAATGAAGGAGGTGACACGAAAGTTAAAAAATTGGTATAATCACACATTTGGTCCTCAATATTTATACTTTCAATCAATTTGGTCATAGTTTTAAATTAATTTAATAAATTTAATATCCAATTAGACAATGACACATGTCATTACAAGATTGAATGATATTTTATTAATTTATTTTATACCCAATCAGTTTATGACACGTGTCATCGCCGGATTAAGTACAAAATAGGGTGGAGGAATAATATGAAGTTGAAGGATTCAAACCCAAGTTTAACCTTTCCATGAGAAAGCTTAAACCACTGGACTAAGCACCTCATTTGGTCATGATCTACAGCATTGTATATACAATGTGTGGCATAGAAAGTTTAACCTTTACTTGACTAAATTATACAATATCATATAAATGTATAATCATTAAATTGAGTTTTAAAAAAAAAAAAAAAAAAACTAAGGTTTAGATTTTTATTTAAACTATATTTATTTTTTATATAATTTCTTTATATATAATCATTAAATTAACTTTTAAAATATAATTAATAATTGATAATTTTAATTTTATTTAATGATTATATGTAAGCATTATTAATTTTATTAAAAATTAAATTATACTTTGGTTATATAAAAGTCAAATATTGTAATGAATATTAAACAATCAAAACCCTAGTATGCTGCCGTTAGGGAACCCGAACGTAAACCCTACTTTGGTTGAACTCACCGCCCATGCTGGGAGGCCACCGGACACTATTGCCATGGTTGATGGCTTGGCGGTCCTGGAGAAGCCAGGGTCCCCGCTGAAGGATGAACGGGAAGTCAAGAAGTTACGTAATGAACGTGAGCAAGTGAAACCCTTGGGTGGGGATAAAACAATCACTGTGGATACGGGTGAGAACTCGTCAGCTAAAAAGGAGTTTCCGAAGAACGTTGAACAGGTTGTGGAGAAGCAAGGGGGGGAGTAGGCTGTTAAACCATCCTATGTAGTATGTACTCATGGTCGCTGGCAACACGGACAACACTAGATAGTCGCTGGCAACTCGGACAACACTAGATAGTCGCATACGTTTTACGATACAGATGATATAGAAGTCCTTGATGATATAGATGCTGCAGGACCTATTACAACGATCCGGTTCTCAGAGTGAGTGCATGATAGGATAGATCAATACATACAACACGTCCTTATCATTTGATTGTTGAATAGAACAATTAGATACAAGGCTTTGGAGAATCGATTGATGGCATTATGGAAACCCTTGGGAGAAATTCAACTAGTAGACTTAGATAACAATTATTATCTGGTGAAATTTTACAGTACTAACAGAGGGACCCTGGATTATTTACGGGAGCTATTTAACGTTACAACCATGGAGTAGGTCGTTCTCAACTTCTGAGAAGTACCCTTCATAAGTTCTAGTATGGGTAAGTCTGTCGGGTTTACCTTATCGCTATTTTCGAAGGCTTTGTTCCATAGAATTGCAGGCGTGGTGGGAAGAGTGGTGCGAGTGGATTATAACACTCAAGAAGGAGGTCGAGGAAAATTCGTCAGGTTAGCTGTAATAGTACTTGAACAAACCATTAAAGTTATGCATTGGAATCGATGGTTTTCTACAAAAGTTAGTATGAGGGTATAACCAACATTTGTTTTTCGTGCGACATCTATGGGTATACAGCCGATAAGTGCGGAAAAGATTGTGACAGAGGCAACTAAGGAACACACAGTACCCATTACTGGTCCTTCCTTGGAGTCCCGTGGAGAGGGTCATGGTCATTAAGAAACCTATATTTTGATGGCTGTTAAAACTCAAAACTAAAGATTGAATGTTTATCTAATTCTAGTTTTCTATATCCATATGAATGATGCTTGGTTTAGGTGAATATATTTCTTCTTGCTCTATTGTGGTTGAACTATACGATTTTCTCATTTTTTTTCTATTGTTTTCAGGATAAATGGCGGAATTTGAGTGTCAGTACTAATAATCAATGCGCCAGAGACAAATCCAGAGCACCCCAAGTAAAAGCCATTGTTGCTTCCCTTCCCACCACTCCCAATTCTTTTAGCTCCAGCAGCACTGGAGCACTGGCAAATCTGGAAAATGAAGATGACCCGACGTCTCGGTGACCGGAACAGGTGATTAGTGCCAATAGTGTACAACAAGGTGGAAAAAGTTCGATGGGGAAGCGGGTTGAAGTAGGCTCTAAGCATACGAAAGGTAGAAAGAGACAAAACTCAAGTGTTGATGCTGGAAATAAAATAGGATCACAAGCGGGTACCACACGTGGAGCGAATCTTGATGGCATTCATGTGTTACCCTCGGTGAAAGGACATGCAGTTAAAATTGTTATACACACTACTACTCAATTACTTGAAACTTACAAGGCTCTATCCATTCAAGAGCCAAGTCAGCGTGGGAAAAAGGAGATTGGCTTCAAAATAAACCCACTGAATGGTGGGGTGGTTAAAACATTCAAGGAAAATATACGACGATGGGGGATTGCAAATATGAATCGGACAAAGGCCAGTGAATGGGTGATGGCTTTGTCCCATTAGATCGATGTTGATGGCAAAGCGACCAATCTGACTATATATGCAGGAGCATATAGATGCTCGGTTACTAGAAGCAGAACTCATTAGTGATAATGAATCAATGGAAGACGTTGAGAATATGGATGCCGAGGAGGTGGAGGCTTCCACGTAAGCCTTCTTCATTGGTGATTCTTCTGTATTTTGTTAATTATGAATTGCATGCTTTGGAATTGTCAGGGTGCGGCAAGCACTACGTTTTGACAGTTTTTTCAGACTTTTTTTAGGATTTTAAACCATAGATTGTAACGTTGTTTGAACCTCACATCCATGGTAGAAAAGCAGATAGAATTATTGTCAAACTAAAGTATTCACACCCTTTTCTCATTGAGGCACATGGCTTCAGTGGTGGCATTTGGTTGCTTTGGGATGATGCAGTGGAAGTGGAGATTCTAAATTTGTCGAACCAATTTATCCAGTCATGTTCGGATTTCGGATACACAGGGGTGGACAATTCTCATGGCTATTTATGCTAGACCGCATAGCATCATTCGGGAACATTTGTGGCCATCGTTGATATCTCTTGACCCTGGGTGTGATCAATCGTGGCTTCTTGGTGGAGATCTTAATTCTATTCTCCATACTCATGGGCCTAAGGGTGGTAGTAACCGATCCATCCAAGGTAGTAAAACTCTTCAAGATTTTCTTTTCACAGCTGGCTTGGTGGATTTGAGCTTTAATAGTCCGCCATTTACGTGGTCCAGGGGTAATCTACATCAGCGTTTGGATCGGTTTCTCGCTAACGATACTTTTTGTACCATGTTTCCTAGTTCTAGTGTGATGCATCTTGATCGAATTGGGTTGGATCATAGACCAATCCTTTATCGAACTTCTGTGGATACCATTCAGTTTCGTAACTGGCCTTTTCGGTATATTACGGCTTGGAATGATCACCCTAACTTCTGGGATTTCGTTCAGTCCTAGTGGCATGAAGGTCGCAGTCTTATCCTAAGTTTGCAGAAATTCACATCGGAAGTTCAGGCTTGGAATAAAGAGGTCTTTGGATATATCGGACAAAGAAAACGATCCTTAATAGCCCGTATCAGGGGAATTGAGCGTGCTTTGGGTGACTACCTTTCGGATTTTCTTTGTGACCTTGAAATAGAACTCCGAGCTAAATTAGAGGTGGTGTTAGATCAAGAAGAAAACTTACGGAGACAAAAGACGTTTTCTGACTAGGTGCTCAATGGGGATAGGAACACGAGATATTTTCATGCTTTTGTTCAGGCTAAATGGAATCGTAACAAGATCACAGCTTTTTGATGAGAGAATGGGGATTGGTGTACGGACACCGAAGAGCTCCAGGCCTTGGCCGTGCATTTTTTTCAGTCTTTTTTCAAAGTGAAGGCCGAACTGCTCTTCCGTATCCTATAAAGCGCTTTCCATCTTTGACATGGCACCATTAAAAGCACCTGGAAAAGATGGTGTCCATGCATCCTTTTATAAAAAAAAAGTGGTCAGTCGTCGGTGCGACTACTTGCAGGTTTATCAGAGAGATTTTTTAGTGTGATACATGGCATCCGGAACTCAACCAAACATTGCTAGTTCTCATTCCTA